TCCGGTTTTCTGGTGGTTTATTGGAGATAGGAGTCTCAAGGTCTCTCATGCCTGGGCTGGCTTTGAACCGCGATCCTCAGATCTCAGCCTCCTGAGTAGCTAGGATTACAGGCGTGAGCCACCAGCGCCCCACAGGGATTAGGTTTCTAACTGATAACCTCAGAGTAAATCTCTATTACTGTTAGGCCTTCTAGCTGCTGTTAGCCCAATGGCCAAGATGCCAATTTGGTCTAATAAAGTTCACTACTCTGTGACAAAGTTAATTATTGTCCAACTTAGCCATCATAAAATTAACTGAAGCCATTACTAATTTCCTAAAATTATATGCTTGGTATATGCTTTGGTTTGAGAAATAGTTAAAATGATTTCCATTTGCTTTCTTCTTTTCTGGATTTTATGTGCTAAAATCTTACTTTTTTACTCCCCAGTGTTAGGTGATTTCAGAGAAGCACTTAGGCTGATCACCCCTGTGCATTGTGCTAGCCTCCCATGCAGGCGCAGGTGTGTGCCTATTCCTCAATGCTGTCAGTCACTGCTGACCTTTTCTCTCTACTTGCCTCTAGCAAATAATGAGAAGTTCTCAACTGCTATTTAACAAATATAGTCATTACTTAAATAGTACAGAAGTTCTTGTTAAAAATAGCTTAATTAATGGAAGGAGGAAGAGTGAGCAAATGCAGTCGTTGTAGTCAATATGAGCTATGTAAATAATGAGCTATGTAACTTGTGGATAAGAATGGAAGAAGGAAATCTGGGAAAATGAAGGATAGGCTGACATTGGCCAAGAAGCATTGTACTAATGCCTGCCTTAGGGAATTAGAACTCTTTTGTACAATTCCTTAATAGTAACTTAAAAAAAATATTGCTGGGCATCAGTGGCTTATGCCTGTAATCCTAGCTACTCAGTAGGCTGAGATCTGAGGGTCAAGGTTCAAAACCATCCCAGGTAGGTAAGTCATAAGTCCAGTTAACCACCAAAAATCCAGAAGTGGGGAGGGCTTGGGAGGCACCCAAGCCCTGAGTTCAAGCCCCAGGATCAGCACTTTTTTTAAAAAAAGGAACTAAATTAAGTAGCCTAATTAAAGAGCTTGGCTATATTTGAGGGGGAATTTTTTTTCAAGATGTTGTTTATTATTTTTATTTTTTGTTGCAAGATTTGCTTTTAACATATCTTAAAAATCTTTTCTTTTTGGTAGGGAGGGGGGTTGAGAAGTAAATCTTCAAAGAAATGCATTATCATTCAAGATATGGAATGGGGCAAAAGATACAGGCACTTATCATTTTTGGTGTATGTGACAGGGTATATAAGTATACTGATCTCTTGTTTGCTTTTCTTAAAAACTTTTACAATATATGTTTAGAAGGACAAGCAATTGAGAGAATTAAAGCACAAAACTGAAAACATCAAATGAAAGAGGCTTTAATTCATGATGAGATCTTTATCACCTTTGTGTGATCAGCTGACTGGTAGCACTGTACTATCTCTAGAGAGGCTTCGAACAAGGAAACATTCGTTGAAACTGTCAGGGACTCCCCCCCAACAAAAGTTAGTAATGACTTTAGTGAATTCTGCCCTTCAGAGAGCTTCCCTTCTCATGTTAGTGTTTATTTCCAATACAAGCAGATAGTGAAAGGCCACCAGGCAGTAAGGAAAGGCTCTTCATGAAAAACAGACTTAAACATGCAAGTCAAGTGGGTTTTTTATTTTCTTGCTAATTGTTTCTATTTATAAGGTACCATGTGATTTTTTTTGTTGCTTTGCAGGTCCCTCCCCCACGGTATAACCCCTGTTTTCACTGTATTTGATGTTGGTATAATTTGTGAAGGGGAAGGGAAAAGCAAATTGCTTAAATAGGGATACAGGTGGACCCATTGCAACAATGAGATGTACAAGACACTATTTTGAAAAACGAACTTTATAATTTAGGCAGGGAGCTGGGTGAGGGTGGGGAGGTTAGTTGTGGAGGTAAGAGGGAAGAGATGGTAGGGAAAAAACAAAGGAGAAGGCAACAGTGCTGGATAAGAAATGTACTCATTACCCTGCTCATGTAACCGTAACCCCTTTGTACAGTATTTTCACAATAAAAAACTTATTAAAAAAAGAAATAGATGCAACTGAAACAGAAACAATTTTGTTTGTACATTGCTGAAGAAAACAACAAAACAAAAATTATCAATAGCCATGAAGAAGTAAAAGATAATATTGTAGGCAGGAAACAAGAAAAAGTGAAAAATCAGTAGTAATATACTTTTAGAAATCAAGAATGTATAATACTATAATAATTCAATAAAGAAGGAAAATGAACTATCAGAAAAGAACAAATAAAGAGATGCAGATAGAAAAGACAGAACAAGTAAAAGTAATAAAAGAAAAAACTACACAACTAAAGGAAATGAGTTTTAATTGAAAAATGTATACTGGCAATCTAATATAATTAATAAAAAACCAAATACACACTCTCCCCTATCTTCCTGATATTTGAATTTTCTTCTGAATTTATCTTGTCATTCAACCCATAATGTTTACCTACTTTATATCTCATTTCCTTTTGTTTTTTCTTATTTGTCAGACTACTTCCATATATCATAATATAATGTTCATTCCTATCCGCCTATATATATTAGCAGTTCCTAGATATCTAAATCCAGTTGTCTTTTTCTGTCAAACTTCAGACCTGCTTCCTTAAACCCTGTACCCTAATAGTTCCTACTTTTCACATGGTTTGAAAGAAAGCTTATTATAACCCTTTTCTCTGTATCCCTCCTAATAAACTTAACCTCCTCTGTTGCCTATTACAGTACCTGAAAATATCATGCATACCATGTTATAAGTCAGAAGTCTAGAAATCTAGAACAAAAGATCTGAATCACTAGTAAGGTTTCCACCATCTTCTTTACCCCTCACATCTAGCCACAGGTCAGATCTTTTTTTGTTTTTGTTGGTTGGTAGGGCCTGAACTCTGGGCCTGGGCACTGTCCTTCAGCTCTTCAGCTCAAGGCTAGTGCCACAGTGCCACTTCCGGCTTTTTTTTGCTTATGTGGCACTGAGGAATCGAACCCAGGGCCTCATGCATGCAAGGTAAGCACTGTACCACTGAGCCACCTTCCCAGCCAGCATGTCAGATCTTGGTGATAGCCCTATGTGTCCTGATTTCCAGGCATCATTTCTAGTCCTCATTCTTTTTTTATTTTTATTTTTTTTTGTGCTGATACTGGTGTTGGAACTTAGGATCTTGTGTGCTTACTTGGCTTTTTTACTCAAGGTAGACACTATACCACTTGAGCCTTGCCTTCACTTCCTCTTAGTCCTCATTCTGAAAAGGAAGGGATATCCAGGGGTCTTTGGACACTTGAAGAGGAAATGTATGGCATAGAAAAGGTTAATAATTGGGGTACAGTGGATCATGCGTGTAATCCTAGCTACTCAGGAGGCTGTTTTTAAAACTCTGAACTAGTAGTTTCAGATTTGATATGATACAGAAAATGTAAATAAAAATCAGAATAGTATAAAAAAGGGCCAAGGAACATGAAGCAACTTTCAGATGTTAAAAATATGACTACAAAACTAAAAATTCTATAGAAGAAATGAACAAGAAAACTGGAGAGTATAAAGGGCAAAAATGACACACAAAAAAAGAAAAGAAAAACAGCATGAATGTTTAGATCCAACATTATGCTAATAGGAACCTTGGGAAATGAGGAAAAAACAACATTAAAGAAAAATAGAAATTTCTAAGAGCTAAAGATAATTAATGTTACTCAAAATCAGTAAAGTGCCTAAGTGCCTAGAATATTTTTAGCACCATTTTGGGAGCATATACGTAAAGAACACAAGAAACAGAAGGAAGTTCCTGAAAGCCCCTAAAATGAAGGAAAATCTTCAAATCCACAGAGAAACAACTCATTGTCATCCATTGTTAAAAAGAAACAGAGGAATATCTTTAAAGATTTGTAAGCCCATCCTAGGCCCCAGTGCATCATACTTACACTCCCATGCACTCAAGAGACAGAAACCAGGAGATTCGTAGTTTGAGCCTGGGCAAAACACTCACAAGACCCTCATCTCAACCAGTAGCTGAATGCAATTGTTCACACCTGTCATCTCAAGTGAAAAAGTGTCTTAGACTCCTCGGCTGGGCATTGTGATATGTACCTCAATTACTATTGGAAACATAAATAGGATAATTGCTGTCCAGCCAGCCCAAGCAAAAAGCAAGGTCCTTTTTTGCAATTTCTAGAGCAAAAAGGACTGAAAGCATGGTTCAAGTGGCTCTCTTTTCCTAACAATGAAGAGAGAGGGAGGGAGGAAAGGAGGAAGTGGGCAAAAGAAAGGAAGGAAGGAAGGAAACTTGAAACCCCAGCAAAACTAAGGATGAGGGCAAAATCAACTTGATTATAGACAGTGAAGAACTCTGAGGGCTTACCTCCACGTATTATTTCTCAGACTATCTGTGTCGATCATGATACACTAGGGATGGCAGGTCTACTCTGATGTCTGTGGGCTTTGCTGATGATTCTGAGACTAGGGATCTAGACATATCTGAGAATTGATTCATGCACATATCTAGGAATTGATGCTAGTTGTCACCTGTGGTCCTTTCTGGGGTGTCACCTGGAATACCCACATGTGGTTTTTCCATGTGACATGATTTCCCCTATAACATTCCATAGGTAAGTGTCCCAAGGGAAGAAAAATGAGAACAAAATACGGGGCCAACCATGTGGAAGTCTTGCACACCCATGCAGACACTTACACACACACACACACACACAGAAACAGAGAGTACTTAGAACATAATGAGTGACAAGGAAAAAAGATAGGCATAGGAAATACGTAGTTGTGCTATTGGTATTCTGTATGTGTGTATTTGTGAAGTCATAGCATAATTGAATTGATTTCCAAAGAACTCTCCAAGGGATCAGATTAATGAAATGTTTTAAGCTCTTTCATTTAAGAAGAACAATTGCTTCTTAATATAATAACTATTTGCTTGTCCTAGTTTGAAAAAGAAAAACAGCATGATATTCGATCATTCTTTTTACCAAAACCTACAAAGAAACAGTTGGAGACAACCTGTGATGAATCAAGAATATTCCCAGATAAAAATACTATATCAGAGCCTAGAAAAGTAGCTACTAGAGGTACTATTCATTGTGGACGTGATTTTGAACCTGAAGCTAAAAGATTGAAACTGACTACCACCAATGACCACAGCAGTCCTCCTGAGGAGAATCCATCCTGGTCCAAACCAACCAAAACTGTACGCATAGAAAATGACCCTGAGGCCAAGTCCCTGTCAACCACCCCAGCCCATCCTAGAAAGACCTGGCAATGTGCCTTCTGTACCTTTATCAATGATTCCGTGCTTCCTTATTGTGAAATGTGTGAGAACCCAAAAGGCAGTTCTGGTGAGTACACAAAAGGTGACCCTGGAGGCGGGGGCTGGTAGTGGTGTCTGGAGATGCACTCTTGTTTCAGAGTCTGCTGTTAGAAGTGTAGTGTGACTCAGCACTGACTTCAGCTTGTAAAATGGAGTAAGAACTTCACAGAGGGAAGACTGACACTGTCCCTGGTGGAACGTGAAAAGCTTCTGCTTCTGTCAGAATGTATATCTCCAAGTGTCTGTGATATGGCATTCATTTGGCAAAAATGGACATTTCTGATTAATGTCAGCAGGATGTGAATTCAGTGTTTGAAATAGAAGCTCTGTTGCTATGGTAGCAAATATGCCTTACAGTCATAGACCTGTAGTTTTCTTTTCTTTATAGATATACTTATTTTTAAGGAAATTATAGAGTATTTTATATGTATATAGGGAAACAATCCACTGTTACTTCTTTGCTTACTTAGCATATATTGTGCTGTATTTTTTTGCTTGACAAGTCATAAAGACTCTTCAATATTTCTGCTTTAAAGAACCAATTTGACAGCTGTTTTATGAATTCTTTTCTAAAACATTTTACTGAGAAATCATTAACATACTTCAAGTAGGTTTTCATAGCATGATATGGCATTTCCTGATGTTTAGTTTCTGAAATGGTTATTAATATCTTTGTTATAAGCCAAAAAGTCATTAGTATTCTTTTATGTTACCAATTTTAGAGAGCAATTATATGCCAATAAAAAATACCAAGTGGACAGTTTTAGAAACTGGAAATACTCATTTTATCAATGGTAATAGTTGTTCACACCTATTTATCAATTACACATTAATTCTTCTAAACAGTGATATTATAACTCCTCTAAGACAGAAACTCTGATATTGTGATTCCTTTTTTCTGCCTTTCTCTCTGCTCTTAGTTTTGATCCAAAGGCAAAAGTAATCAGTAGTTAAGTCATTCCTCTTTCCCTTCTATATGTTCCTACCTAAATTAACAAGCCTGCCATCTAGCTGGGTATATTGTAATGTGAGCACTTGTGCTCTGTGAACTAAATTGGAACCACAAGTTTATTCCATAGCATATCATACCATAATTAGCATAACCTCATGTAACTCCCAGCTGATAAAGACAATAAAAATATATTGTGACCATGAAATAATATCACCTCAAATTAGCTATATAAGATAACTGATTTAGAAGAAAAAGTTTTATTGTTTTATATTTTTCCTTTGTGATGCTAGACCCTTGACTCAATAAACACTCTAATACAACTTAAGAAAACAAACTTCCCTTTATGAATACAAAATAGTGTGCTTAGAGAAAAAAATCTCAACAGTGTCATTACTTTTATCTTAAAGTTATAATTATTAGATATATATTATTGTAATTTAGCACAGTGATGTCCATCCTTGATTTGTATATACCCCAGCAGCAAAATTGGTGCTAAATTTGTTTTCCATATAATTTTTTGAGGAAAGGGTAGAATCCATAATATTAGAATATAGTAGTCTATAAAGTTTGCAAATTCAGTCTATAGTGATTTAGAGAAAAGTGGTATAGAATACCTTGAGTACTTTGTTCTTAACATGTGTGGTTTAAAAATCACCCAGATTTATATCTCCCATTTGAATTTCAGACTTAAATATATCTAAATGGGTACATAATATGACCTGGATATCTAATGGGAATCCCATGTTAACATGCCCATAATAGGTTTGTTTATGTGTATGTGTGCCAATACTGGGACTTGGACTCAGAACTATGAGCGCTTGCTTGCCTATTTATTTTTATTTTGCCAGTCCTGGGGCTTGAACTCAGGGCATGAGTGCTGTCCCTGAGCTTTTTTTTCTCAAGCCTTTTGGTGGCTAATTGGAGATGAGAATCTCACAGACTTTCCTCCCCAGGCTGGCTTTGAACTACAATCCTTGATCTCAGCCTCCTGAGCTACAGCTTGTAACCTTGCTGGTGGTTAATTGGGCCGGCTTTAAACCACAGTCCTCAGCTCTCAGCCGTTATTATTCCTCAGTCTAACTCCATTTAGTTCCAATTGCATTTAGAGTCTAATCCAGGAATATAGTTCGGGCCAGGCTTTGTAAACATCTCTGAGCTCACATGAGTCTCCACTGAGAGCATAATCTCCACAATATGGCGTGTTCTAATATCATTCCTTCAAGTTTTTGGATTTCATCCTTTTTTCACCATTCCCTCTACCCCCAATTATCTTATTCACAAAAACCTCAGCGGAGTCTTGATTTGTTTATATTATTGTCTGTCTCTGCCACTCAAAAGGAAATCTTCAAAAAACAGGGGAAATAATAAGCCCTGGATAAATGCTTTAAAAGAATGAACAAACATTAATAACTTGGTTTCTTTTTATAAGACTTATCTGTTACATTTTAACTGTGTTTTTAAATGTAAAATATTTTTGACAATTCTACACAGGCAGCATCAACTGTATCCAGGACAAAAACAAAAATGAGGAAGATAATTCTCAGAAAGATACCTCCAAAAAAGTTGATGCAAGCTCAGACTGTGAAAAACAAGTCCTTGGACAGTTAGCTCCTGACCAATTGATGGAGAACAAAGAAGAAATGATAGAAGTTGAGAAGGAAAACAGACTCATACCCCAGGGAGGTAAGTCTTGTTTTCATTTCTGGTGTCCTGATAATAACCATAATGGTATCTGAATTATGATTGATACATGATTGTTGCCTTGTTCTAAGTATCTTTTATTCCCTTCTTTATTAAAAATACAAACCACTTTTCACATACGTAAACACCAGATAACTAGAAGAACGGCATGTGTCTGTTAGCATTCAGACATTATCTATGGAGTAGAGCCAGTTAATAGCTGCATGTGCTACCTACAGACCTGCTGTCCTGCCTCATCCAAGCCTAGTCCATTATACTTCAAGGGTGTTGTTTGACTTCTGGATACAATGTTGTTTGACTTTTAGATACAATGGTTACAATTAACAGATTACTTTTTAAAAACTTAAATCCTTAATCCTTTTTTTTTTAAATATACTTCTTTTTTTATTTTTTTTTTATTTTTGTCGGTCATGGGGCCTGAACTCTGGGCCTGGGTGCCGTCCCTCGGCTCTTCAGCTCAAGGCTACTCTACCACTTGAGTCAAGTACCACTTCTGGCTTTTTCTGTTTATGTGATGCTGGGGAATCAAACCCAGGGCCTCATGCATGCAACACAAACACTGTACCACTGAGCCACCTTCCCAGCCCAAATCCTTAATCCTTTTACATGAATTTTTTGTTGTTTGTTTATGACCAACAACCTCTTTTAAATTTTTTAGTATGAAGTCAAGTTATAAAGAAATTCATTGGGCTTCCGGCTTTTTTTTCTTTTTGCTTATGTGGTGCTGAGGAATTGAACCCAGGGCCTCATGCATGCAAGGCAAGTACTCTGCCAATGAGCCACCTTCCCAGCTCCTGTGCCTCACTGTATTTACTCAATTTCCAAAGAACAACTGTTTGTTCCTATTTTGGCAAAGTTATAACAAAAATATTTATAAATATGCAATCTTGCATAATTTTGCAGGTATAGATTAAAAATATTTTTCTAGTTATAAATATTTTGTATTAAAATTAAACTTTTGATATTGCCAAAAAAAATATGTCAGAAAGGCAGTCAATAGAGAAAAAAAAAAGTGAGCAAAACAGTTAAGTGAATTGGGGATAAAATAGTGATGTCCTTGATGTATGAAATATTCAGGCATTTGGATAAAGTGTTTGTCCTACAATATGACAAACTTTCAGCCTATGACTCTCAACTTTAAATGACTATACTTAATGTATTTTAATTTTTTATTGTTTTTAAGAAATATGATTTCAAAACTATATGAAGCAAAATTGTATTTAGAGATGCCAAAGAATGTTTCAGATTCATTTGTATTTCCTGATTCCATCTATTATGTATAGCTTGATGGGTAGTAAATTTCAGCTTGTAGTCATACATCACATTCTTTTATTGTCCAACTAGGAGAAGATTTTACGTACTTTTAGATTATTTTCTTTTACTTAGTGACCATAGTAACCTACAGAGTTTTATTAAAACCTCAAAATTTTGGGGATGAGGCTGCTGGAACTTATCTTAAGTTAATTACTATTAAGCTCTGATTAATTTGGAAGCAGATTTGCAGCTTTAAAACAAAACATTCATGTAAGAATTTCTGAGCTCAAATAATTGTCTTCTTCTCTCTGCCTTCTCTCCCTCTGATTCCTCAGTATCTTCCCAAAGAGAATCTTGTTTGGGTCTAATTGTAACCCCTTTTAAATAGACAACAGAGACTTAGGAGGGTTATACTCTTCTGTGCCTTTCTGATTTCCTTGTTGATTCTTCCTCCACGTGGGTTGCAGGACAGCAAATGCCTAGTGAGCTAAACCTCAAACTAGGAATCAGCATATTGTCTGTGACACATGCAACTATGACATACCTTAACCATAACAAAAACCAGGCCATAAAGCTTAACGCTATTAAAATTCCTCTTTTGCACTGGCATTTCTTTGATTTGTTATGAGGGTTTCAACATGGTGGCCTACCTTCAGTTGCTTTACTTGACATATAATAGGCAATCTTTTTGCACATCTCAGTTAACCAAAAGTAAGATAGCTTCCTCTGTTTGCCGGAATCTTGTCTTAAGACCCAAGAAGTACTAAGAAGTACTTACTAAGTTATGCCTTTGCAAGAATGTCAGAAATTTGCTTATTCCTTCAGTAATGGGTATTTGCTTCTTTAATATCAATTTATGTTGTTCTGTTGTGTTCCCAGGTTTTTGATATATGTAACTTTTCATTTCAGTACTTATAGTAAAAAGTCTGATGACATCTTAAAGTTAATCTCATCAAAATAAACTGTTTTCAGTAGAGGGAATATGAATCTTCAGAGTCTCTTTTGTCTTTTATAGTAGAGCAGTTGAAGCATTCAGACACTCTGCCAGTGTACGATACCTTAATGTTTTGTGCAAGTAAGAATACTGACCGAATTCACCTCTATACTAAGGTAAGCATCATGTAAATTTCATAGCTTGAAACAAAAAGACCTCCTTTTCTTTTCTTATTTTTTAATGGAAATATTTAACAGTGAGATAGGCATCTAATCTAGTTTTTTTTTTCTTCTTAAAGCTAATTATCCAGTTCCTATGTTAAATCTAAAGATAATGAGAGGCAAAACGTGATATTCATTAAGAGTATAGACTTCAGGGCAAGACTGCCATTGTTTAAATCTATTATTAAGTGTATAATCTTAGACGCATTACCTAACTTCTCTGTGTTTCTGTTTTCTCAACTGTAAACTATGGAGGGATTTGTTAGAAAGATAAAATAAGTTTAGTCCTAAAGAGCACTCAGCACAGTGCCTAGCCCTCATAAATTCTCAAGAAGTGTTAGTTCTGGCACTAGATAGTTGAAAGCAGCAGGAGATGACACATTTTTAGACACCTAACTCATCTCCGTGTTGAATAAAGATAGGAAGATTTTGTGATGAGATCACTCAGATTCCTATGATATTCTAATTTAGCGATGCTCAGCGTTTTCAAGTCAGCACCCCTCTGTGTCACTGAAATGTTTCATGGATTTTAAGGAGCCTTTGTTTGTGTGAGCACATCTTTATATCTACAGTACTCAATATTAAAACGAAACATTTAAAATATTCACTATCCTATTTTTAATAATGGTCTACACTCATTATATATTTATATGTAAAGATCATATTTTCATGAAAAATAATTACATTTTCAAAGTGTATTTAATCAGAGGAATTAAGCTGCTTTATGTTTTTAGCAATATTCTGTAAAGTCTCAATACAATACAATGGGATTCTTGTATCTTCCTTGATATTCATTTTGTTGTAATATATCGTGTTGATGTCATGATTCATTGTTGAATTTGTATGTGTGTGTGTGTATGGGTTTGCCTGTGTGTGTGTGTGTGTGTGTATGCCAGCTCTGGGACTTGACCTCAGGGTCAGGTCACTGTCCCTGAGCTTTTTGTTCAAGGATGAGTTCTACCACTTGAGCTATAACTCCACTTCTGGATTTTTGGTGATTAATTGGAGATGAGAGCATCACAGACTTTCCTACCTTGGCTGTCTTTGAGCTATAATCCTCAAATCTCAGCCTCTTGAGTAACTAGGATTGCAGGCATGGGCCACTGGTGCTGGCTAGTAATACTCTTCAGTTAGAAGGAAATGTCCAGACCATAAATATCTAAAACTCCTAAACAGGATCTAGCACAGATCCACAACAAGATAGAGATTAAGAACTAAGCTATTCTCCTCTTGTGGTAATAAACCCGGCCCACCCTTTGGAGACTCTGGGTATACTGAGAGAGACTGGGGAGACCAGTGACTCCTTTGATATCCTTCAAGTGGTTTTAAATGTCTCTTTTCCAGAAGGCCTGCAGCTTGAGGCTGTGCTTCTCAAACCTTCACATGAGAGGAATAGAAAAGTGATCCAGAAGAAGCTTGAAAAGCGAGGCAGTCAAAGCACACCAGGAATTCAGAGTCCCTTAAAGTCTGTAAACATTTCATTCTGGATAGTGAAGTTATGGTCAACATTTTTCCCCTTGGGGTGGAGGCAGAGAAAAACTTACCAACTGTAGCAACGTTTCTGGCTCTTCTACCTGGCCTGTGTAGCATAAACTACCTCTCATCCTTGATACAATTGTCAGAAATCTCAAATGTAAAGTTTACTGTGGCTTTCTAAAGACGAGACATGAGACAAATGAAATATTGGCATGTCTTTTCAAAGCTACAATAGAGTGAGATGAAGCCCTTCCTTAGAACCAAAATAACATCTACAATGGTGGTGTGGCTCAAATAGACTTGAACAAAAAGCCAAGTGAGAATGTGAGGCCATGAATTCAAACCTTAGTACCAGCACACACATAAAGAGAGAGAAATAATCAGGAAAGGAGGCAGGGAGGGATGGAGAGAGGGAGGAAGTAAGGAAAGAAGGAAGGAAATTTAGAATATTGTACTATAATTAGGACTGTGTTTCAACCAAAATCTAAGGTTTACAATTATATTTTATAATTATATATCTAAACTTTAAAATTACATACATTTACAATTAAACACTATAGTTACAAATTAAAGTTTAAGTAAATACTTTTTATGGATTTTGCTTGTTTGTTTGCCGATCCTGGGCCTTGAACTCTGGGCCTGGGCACTGTGCCTAATGTTCTTTTGCTCAAAGTTAGCACTCTACCACTTGAGCTACAGCTTTACTTCTGGCTTTTTCCGTTATTAATTGAAGAAAAAGAGTCTCATGGACTTTCCTTCCCTGGCTGGCTACAAACCATGATCCTCAGCCTTCTCTCAGCCTCCTGAATAGCTTAGGATTACGGCCATGAGCCACCAGCACCTGGCTGGATTTTTTTGTTTATGTTTTTGTTTTTCTCAAAGAGAAGGAGCTGGAACATTTCTTTGGCTTAAGGAGAATTAGAATATGAGTGGAAATATTGTTGATACATTAGAATTTCTTTGATATATTCTTCTTCCTCATTGAAAAAGAAGTAACTTCTTGTTGCATTTAATTAACTGCAACCCTATTTGTGGTTACTTTTTAACCTCAAGATTTCAGGATAATGTGCAGTGATTATTGAGACCTAAAAGTAGCTTTGCTTACTCCTCATGTGATGAGGATTCAAGTCCTTGTATGCTGATATGACATTGTTTTAGGGAAGCAAAGAATGTTAAATAATTTCTCTAGAATTATCTTCTCTTTACTTTCCTGTGCCTGTAACACTGACAGGTATATCAATCATTTGGGGAGAGCTATTCAGCCTATTTCTTGATGATCTCTTTATATTACTGTTATTATCTTTAAGAAACAAAGGGGTTTCACTTCAAAGTGTCAATTTAGGAGTACACAGTATCTTGATCAGTGTCACCATTCAACCTTCTTTGATATGAGATATATTTTCAGAAATTATAAAGACATTTACTTCTTGATTTGAGAATGATCATTCTGCTAGTAACTTCAAGGGCATTATATTATTTTGTATTGATTTGCAATTTATAACTCGTAGTTTTTAATGTGCTTTATTAGCATTTATTATTTGTACAAGTGGGTTTCATTGTGATGGTTCCGTGCATGCAAATAGTGTATCCCTTCTTAAAACACTTTCAACAGATATCATACATGCATATAAGAATACAAAACATGACATTGTTTTGATACATATTTCTAAGATTAGGGACTAAAGAAGTGTGACAAGTCTGTCAAGCATCCTAGGCTGACAGCAAAGGACTTGAGGCTAAATGTAGGCAATGCAGGTCTGCAGAGAGCAAGAGAGAATCTACCTCTCCTTCTCACCTTTAGTCCTTTAGGGGAGCTATCTGTGTTGGTTACACCGTTACTTACAATGTACTATCCAGTTTATCTTTTAGCACACCAGACATATTATGCCATAATATAATTATTTTCTTCTAAAGTAGTTACTAGTGCTTGAAGAATAAAAAGGATTGACAATGATGTCTTCCTACTCTAAAATAGGATGGAAAACCTATGAATTGTAACTTCATTCCTTTGGATATAAAATTAGACCTTTGGGAAGACTTACCAGCAAGTTTTCAACTGAAACATAATCGCTCACTGGTAAGACTACTTTATGTAAAATAGTTGTATTTGTTTTAAGTAAAATTGTTTATATAATTTTAATGATCACTTTGAGTTTAGTAAAACAGTGCTATGTGGCCTATTGCAGAATCAAGTCACCTTCTGTATTTTTAGCAATCCAGGCAGTGTCTATTAATTACCCTAGTGCTAAAAATAAATGTGAAGTCTGTCTTCTTAGCAAATGATCACACCTAGAGCTACTGTTTCTACAGATAGAATCTTCCTCACATTTAATTTCTCATTCACAGAATTAGCAACTGTGATATTTGTATCTGTCACATTTTTATCCCTAAGGTTAAGTTCTAACAGTGACAAATTCTGGGAACAGGGATAATATCATGTTGGGTGACTCTGGAGTCATTATCAAAATCACTAGTATGGAGCTACAGGCCAGATACCTGCCAGGGAGGATTAATTTCAGATCTGTGGCTGACTTACGATCATTGCTAAGAAGGATCTTCATGTTCAGGAACTGACCCAGCATGCAGTGAGCATTTTTTTGAAAAGAAAAAAGGCAAACAATGGCTTAAAAAAAAAAAAAACTTTTAGTAGAAATAGAGCATTTCCAGGAGATCAGCTGCATCTATCTTGAAAAAAAAAAAGTAGCAGTGTGCTGCTTTCTTTAGTATCAACAAATCCTGACTCTCAGATCCCAGTCCCTCTAAACAGCCAGTTATCTATAATTGACTAATAATGAAAAGAACCCTAATAAAAATGACCCAAGTTTATTTGTGGGTTTTTTTTCCCCCTAGAGTAACAGGCATCAAATAGAAACTTATTCTTGATGTTATTTTGTTCTTTGGTCAACCCTGCCAGACCTGCTGTTCTTGAGGAAACTTTGCCTTGTCTGCTTCTGGGCTATGTGCTTCCAATCTTGTTTTCCTTTCACCTAGCACATTTATTAATTTGTCCTTTTGTGTGTTAAGGGCATAAAGTGAGTGTCCTGAAACATGCCTTTAGCAGATCTTTGTATTGAAAGAATCTTTTTACAATTTAGCCAAAGATAATTTACAATAAATATATGAAACTTCAAGTTGAAAAAAATCCTTAAATTGTGTTACTCAAGAACTTGTTTGGGGGATTTTAAAAAACCTGAAGTTTTCTCATGTTGTAAATAACTTCACTTTCACAGAAAGATGCATGATGATTGTTAACTCTTTTTATTATTTTCTTTTCTATCAGATTTTGAGGTTTGTTCGAGAGTGGAATTGTCTGACTGCCATGAAGCAAAGGGTAATTAGGAAAAGTGGACAGCTGTTCTGTAGCCCAATCCTTGCATTGGAAGAGATCACAAAACAACAAGCCAAACAAAATAGTACCAAAAGGTATGAATCATCTTTCTATTTTATTTTGTATTTTATTGCTTTTCAGGGTTATTCCTATAGAAAGTCTAATCTTACTGACCCAATAATAAAATCCTGGTAAGTTGAGAGAAAAGTGTTTATAAAACCACAGTTCTATTATTTCAGAGCAACATAATTAGATATATAGTGAATTCGATCAAATCTGTTAGAAGATATCAGGTTGTTGGATCTTGGTCACTATGACTTTAGCTTATCCGTCAAGACGCCAGAGCCATGGAAGCTATGACTTGTTAAGCCTAGGACACTTATATCAACAGGAAGACATTTTACTCTAAGAATCTTACAATAAATCCTGGGATCTATCTTCCCCGGCTTCCTGTGGCATGCATTTCAGGTGTCATGCAGCCATGGAGATGCACCATCACCTTTCAACAAGTGAAAAGTAGCTGTCAGGTCTGTGTTTGAAAAGTACATAAAAGGAAAGTTCAATTGTGACACATTTGTCTCTATCATTGCTTAATCTGTAGGTCGACATTTTCATTACATCACCATTTCTTTGTCTCAATTAAGTACACTTTTGTGTGATCTCAAATTCCTATTTTTTCTTTTTCTCTTTCTTTTTTGGTCAGTCGTGGGACAAACTCTGGGCTTGGACACTGTCCTTCAGCTCAATGCACGTGATCTGCCACTTAAGCCATAGCACTACTTCTGGTTTTCTGGTGGTTAATTGGAGATAAGAGTCTTGCTGTTCTTGTTAATGTACTTATAATGTACTATGTGATTTTTTTTTTGTTTCTTTGTATGTTCTTCCCCAATGGTATAAACCCTATTTTCACTGTATTTGATTCTGGTGCCCTGCATCTTGTATATACATTTTTCTAATTTGGGGAGGGAAAGGGAAATAACAAAATGCTTAAACAAGGATACAGCTTGACCCATTGTAACAATGATATGTACAAGACACTATGTTGAAAACGAATTTTACAACTTTGGAGTGGGGAGAGAGGAGTTGGGGAGGTGGGGAGGGAAGGGATGGTAAGAAAAAAACAAAGGAGGAGGTAACAGTGCTCTATAGGAAATGTACTCATTACCTTACTCATGTAACTGTAACCCCTCTGTACAGTATCTTTATGATTAAAAACATATTAAAAAATAGAATGGGGACGCGAATATATAATTGTTACTACTGATCTAAAAAGTACCGGGAAGTGTACCTTTGAAACTCTTAGGGAATGTTTCTCTAGGACATTGATTCCTAATCAGGGACAGTGATGCCAGGATTGCAATCTCTAAAAATATTCTAGATGATCAGGACTAGGGAATGCAACTGAAGTGCTTCTTACTGGTCTATACACATTCTTGGCATGCACCAACAATTCTATTGAAAATCCTATAGTAAGTAGGACTGGGCCCACAAAAAAAATTATGTTTTTAGAATGCCTATAGTGTTACTATTGTGAAATCTTAGGCATAATACTAGAGGATTTTTAGAGTTGTAGGCACTTTATACATTTACTCCAGGGTTATAAATTCATGACTTAAAAAGGCAAAAGAAAGAACCATCAATGAGTAAGAAAAGGATGGGATCGGAAGTGGCGCTGTGGCTCAAGTGGTAGAGCGCTAGCCTTGAGCTGAAGAGCTGAAGGACAGCGCCCAGGCCCAGAGTTCAAGACCCACGACCAACAAAAAAGAAAAAAGAAAAGAAAAGGATGGGACCTAGCTTAGGATGATAGCAAATTGAAAAGTGCATAACTTATCTGAAGTCATTCAAGTTCAGTTTTTTTCAAACATTTCTTTATATTTATAGTAAATGTGTTGGATAGAGGGATTACAGTTACATAAGTCAGATAAAGTGTAAATTTCTTTTTGAATCAAGTTCAAATTTAAAAAAAAAATACTTTCTTAGTCAAATAAAGCCCTTTGAATAACTGGGTTTATCTGTGAGCTACCACTTTGGGCCTGGTTAAAAGACATGTACTAGTTGAATTTTTGCATGTATTGCTTTATATCCAAGTGGATTTGAAATACCTGTGCACGCATTTCTTCATATGTGTGCATACACATGTATTTATACACAAGCATAAGTATGTATAAATATCAAAAGCATGATGCCTATTTTATTTTTTTCAATATTTGTGCCAGTCTTCTCTACTTTACCCATTCTTATTAATACAGTCTTGGTTGAAGCATTGATCTTGTCTTTCTTACATAATAAATTCCCTTCACAGTTGAATTTATAGCCCATTCCAAACATTTCTAAATATGTTGTATTGTTTCTTCTCCATCAGATATGATGGACTACTTAAAGTATCAGTTAAAGAAATGACTGATTATATGTAAAAGTTGACCCAAAATCAATACAATTTGAAGTCAGACATACAGTGTTATTTATAAAATTAAATGTAGATTATACAGTTAGGCTGTATTTTAAAGCATCAAATTAAAGAATCAGATTTGTTTTTTTGGGGGGGGGGTCCGGTCGTGGGGCCTGCTCAGCCTGGGCGCTGTCCCTCAACTCTTCAGCTCAAAGCTAGTGCTCTATCACTTGAGTCACAGCGCCACTTCTGGGTTTTTTCTTTTTTGCTTACATGGTGCTGAGGAATCGAACCCAGGGCCTCAGGCATGCAAGGCAAGGGCTCTACCACTGAGCCAACTTCCCAGCCCTCAGATTTGTATTTTTAAGAGCTCACTCTGACGGAAGTTTGGAAATTAAATAAAAAAGTAAAGACTTTAAGTGGGGAGAAAGGTAACATTCGTTTCTTATTGTTGCCATCACAACTTTCCACAAGCTTGGCATCTTATTACAATGCAAATTTGTTCTCTCATAGTTCTCTAAGTTCAGACTGACCCTTGCTAGTTATTTTTGCTATGTGTTTTACAAGGCTAAAATGAGAAGCCAATTCCAGATTTACTTCATATGGTTGTCAGAACTTATTTTCTTGCACATGTAGAATTGCGGTTCCCATTACTTTCCTGTGTGTCGACTGAGGGCTACCATCCATAGGACTAGAAATCCAGTCCTGCCTAGTACATGGACAGTGCCAGCAGCGAGTGTCAAATCCTTTGCTTAGTGAGGCTTATGCACCTTTGGTTCACCTTAGTTACATCTGAAATGTTCCTTTATGGCATTACCTAGATTGGTAATTGGCTAGGTGATCTGAGGCGGGGAATCCTAGGAGATACCTTGATTCTGCTGAAGCTACTCACATCGGTACATACCTTTAGTGCCAGCACACATGAGGCTAAGGGATGACACTTGAGCTCAGGAATTTTTGAGACTTGCTTGGTGACAGAGAGAAAGAGAAAGGAAAGAAGAAAAGAAGCAGGAAAAAAGGAAGGAAAGAAAGGGAGAAAGAAAGAAGGAAATGAAAAAAAATACGACAGTGTGTCCACTATCAAAGGTAAAAGACTACTGTAACTGTGACATTAAAAATAGGAATGGAGGAAAAAGAACAGAGAGCACTATGAAGGAGGGATACCTAGCTCCTCAACATGCAGCTGATGCACCTGCAGAGGTGAGATGCTGTCAGAGGCACTCTGAGTTCTCCTGGCAGAACTCAGTAAATCTCAATATTTTGGAAAAGCAGATGTGAAAATTGAGGCTAAACAAAGGGGAGGAGTGAGGCCCTGGAGCTCCTTCCTTCCCACGCTCACATCAGTGTAGTCTCTAGAGAAACGGATCCAAAGGCCATCAGGCTTGGAAAGACCCAGCTCAGTGGAGGTAAAGGGAGAGATAATACACTGAAAACAAGCTCTCAGGGACAGCGCCCAGGCCCCGCGTTCAAGTCCCAATGACCGACCCAAAAAAAAAAAGAAAGAAAGAAAAAGCTGGAAGTGGAGTGGAGCTGTGGCTCAAAACAAAACAAAACAAAAACAAAAAATGAAAACATCACCAGCCACAGTTTGTTCTTGAGTGAGTTTCATTTCTGATTTAGTAAAAGTAGGCTTGATTTAGCAGAAAGTTGGCCACTGTTTATCCTCTACCTATAACTAATCTCTAAAAAGTGACCCAAAGCCCTAGATTGCATTCATTAAAAAGGGCCACTTTGCAACATACACTAATTTTGCAATTGCCAATTTAAACTATTATTAATCCAGGAATTAGTTTAGTAACCAACGTTTTTCCTTCCCTATATGCACAAATTAGGTTTTACCACATCTGTTTGGGAGATGATATACTTTAAGCTTAATAGCATACTTCAATGAAAATTAAATTAGTGGTAACTTGGAAACTTTTCACCTCTCTTTCTTGGGGCAGATCAATCTGGGGTTTGGGGTGTATGTGGACTTCAAGAATGTATGCTTAAGGCTCTTACATGAGAGCAAGAGGTTATTTTTAGTTCCTAAATCACTGACTAGATTTCTCAGCATCTAGCATTCACACATTGGAAAATACCGGAGGCAAGACTTAATATTCCATTGCCCTCAGATTTAGGAACATTTTGAGTTTATTTAGAATCCTCAAGAACACTTTAGCAAAGTGTTTTTTACCAAGGGAATAAAATGGTTGAAGAAATGAGAAGTTTGGGGGAAGTTTAGAAACTCAATGAGCACGTTAAAGAACTGAAAAGAAGAAAACTAAAAAAAAGAACTGTGATTCCTTTTTACTATTTTATTATTAAATAGTTGTACAAAGACATTACAATTCCATCTGTCAGGTTATGAGTACAGTATAGCTTGATCAATGGAAGAACTGTGATTCTCAAAAAAGAATTTAGCTTGTTTTTGTATTGTTGTTGTTGTTACTTTAAGTAAGACACACAAATGGAAATGCAAATATGAAAAGATACCCATCTGGGGCTGGGAAGGTGGCTCAGTGGTAGAGTGCTTGCCTTGCATACATGAGGCCCTGGGTTCGATTCCTCAGCACCACATAGGAAAAAAGCCGGAAGTGGTGCTGGGGCTCAAGTGGTAGAGAGCTAGCCTTGAGCTGAAGAGCTGAGGGACAACGCCCAGGCCCAGAGTTCAGGCCCCACGACCAGACCCCCCCCCCCAAAAAAAGATACCCATCTGTACTGTTATGGGAAAAATGAAATTTTAAAGTAATAAAAATGCCTACCCTTTTTAGCAGAGAATTTGTTTATTTGTGTGTGTGAGAGGTTTTGCCCAACATTGTCTGGAAATCCTGAGTCGTCCTGCCTCTGCCTGCCAAGATTCCAACGTACCCCACCATGCCACGTCAGCAGAGACTTTTTTAAAAATGCCATGGATTGTGGGAGTACACACACTGTCATTCATTGTTGATAGAGACATGCACTGCTTCCGCTTAGCAGAAATGAAATTAGTAAAATCCACCCACATTTAAAGCACTCAAGACTTTTATATCAGGAATTTTATTTATTTTGGGTATACTTAATGTGGAGCTATTGAGACAGTAACATGGTTTGTGATAGAAAAACTGGAAATGATGTACATGCCCATTAATCAGATAACAGGTAAGTGTATTACATGATTTACACACATAATTGAATGACATATTACCAATAAAAAAGTGCAGAATAGCTCTGTTACAGAAAAGTGGCTCAAGTGGTAGAGCCCTTGCCTTGAGCTGAAGAGCTCAGGGAGAGTGCCCAGGCCCAGAGTTCAAGTCCCACAACCAACCAGAAACAAAACAAAAGCAAAAAACCACTCAAAATATGAAGAAATCAAGTCTAAACTAACTTTTTCCAAATTCCATAAGAGGTGTAAACTACCAGAGAAACTGGGCCATCCTAATTAATTGGGTAATTGCATTTTACCTACTTAAATTCCCCTGTCACTTTTCATTAGAATTACTTTCCTCTTTACTTCCAGTCCCTGAACCATTGTGTGTGGTATTGATAGTGTTGTTTAAAAAGGTTTTGAATCCCACATCAAGAGTAGTTTTGTTTGAGTGGAAGATTCCATAAACCTTGGATGGGCTGAAACTAATGAGAACAGCCTTCAGGTTGTAGGAGATGTGATTGAATCTGGTTAACTAAAATGAGAATCACTTTATACAAAACACTGCTACAGTATTGCTACTGAGTAAGATAATTTGGAGGTGCCTTAGAGAGATAGTCAAGATACTGGGAAGGTCTCTACATAGCTTAATAGGTAGCATCTGTAAGGCTGTTTGATCTGATTCAGTCTTTTTTTATTTCCACATCCACCTTTTTCCTCTTAAGTTTTAAAAATTGGTCCAAAGGGTAGTTTAATAAGTATTGAATTTCTTAGAAAAATAAACCTTGAAGGAACAAATTAGAACAAAGAGAGATCTTCTCCAGGAAAACGGGTTTGGGATGAGAAGTCACCAGCAGAGAAGGAGAGGGCTAATGAAGAGGATGAATGAGAATGAATGTAGTCAAGGTAATTATTTATGCATATGAAAATGGAACAGTGAAAACTATTGAGGCTGTTTTAAGAATCTGGGATTGGAATAAAGAAGAGTAATTGAGGGAATGGGTTTGATTGGGATACATTGTAACATGTATGAACCACCTCCTTGAACAACTAATATATGCTCATTTTAACAATAAGGAAAAAGAAAAAGAGATATGTTTCCTACATCATGTACCCCCATGTAAAGGACAACAGTTTTTAACTTTAGTATTAGCACAATATTAATAGAGTTATAGCTTGCTTTTGCTTATGGTGCCCTTGCAAAGAACAATATAAACTACTATGAGAGAAAATCTACTGAATATCTGTATCTTCTTCTAGATACATCACTAAAGAAGATGTTGCTGTTGCCTCAATGAACAAAGTGAAGAATGATGGTGGCTGCATTCGTCTGATCATGAAAGACTCTAGGCCTCAGGACCCTTCCAAAAAGTAAGGACACAGTAGTACTGAAAATAGGTCTTTCAAAATATATATTAATTTTGTAATAGTGCTTCACCTTCATGTGTCATGTTAGAGGTTACAAAGAGCTTTCATGACTTCATAGCTCTTTAGTCCTTCTTGCAACTATGTGAAGCATGTGATCTTAACATCTTGTAAATAAGAAATGATGGAAGGTACAAATTCAAGCTGCTTTCCAACCTTGAACTGTTCTAACCAGAGAAAGATTTTCCTTTGACGCTAACCAACCATAGAAAATAAGCTAAGCAGTTATTTCTAGTTGTAGGACTTTTTTCTTTCTTTCTTTTTTTCTTGCGGTTGTGGACTTGAACTCAGGGCCTCGGTACTGTCCCTGAGCTATTCTGCTTGAGGCTAGCACTCTACACTTGGAGCCACAGCTCTACTTCTGGTTCTTGCGTGGTTAATTGTAGATAAGTCTCACAGGGCCTTTTCTGCCTGGGCTGGCTTTGAACCTCTATCCTCAAATCTCAGCCTGTTAAGTAGCTAGGATTACAAACATGAGCCACCAGTGCTCCACTGTTGTAGGATTTTTTAATCAGTTAAGTAATGTACCTTTTCCTAATTCTAACAAACTGATGACATGGTACTATATTTCAGTTCTGATTTTAATCTTACCAGCCCTGAGTTTACCTGAGTTAATGAACTTTCTCTTGTCATTCCTATCAGCATGGTCAGCTACTTCAATGTATCGCCTTATGGCTATGAAGACTTCCTGTATGTATCCTGTAAGGCAGAAGATGCTGGAAGAGTTTGTACTAACCTCTCTGACCCACTATAGTTAGAAAAAAAAGGTAGCTGATAAACTTTAGTTAGGATTTGACATTAGCCTCTTCCAAGCCTAAAGACACATTTTCTAACATCTTTTCCAAGTTTTCCAGATGTTTCAAAGTCTAATTCCTTAATAAGGAAACATGTAAAATCACGAGAGGCAGCATGTATCAATTTAATTTTTGTAACACACTGTTTTTCTTTACCTGTCAAGGAATACAGAATGCCCACTACAACTATTTCATCTTCATATTGAGTCACAAAATCCACATAGAAACTTTAGACCTTTATATGAGGCATTGATTATGGTCATTATTTATTTATTACCTATTGACATTTTGTTTAATTGTAGAGAGCTCCTTGAAGATGGAAATTCTTCCACATCTCAAGATGATCTCATTGTGAATCCTTCTACATCTAAAGGGTATTTGCAAGCTGTGGATAATGAAGGAAATCCACTTTGCCTTCGCTGTCAACATCCCACTAATCAAGAGTATCAAGCAAATGCTTGGGATTCACGGTTTTGTTCTCTGAAATGTCAGGAAGAATTTTGGATTCGATCTAATAATTCTTACCTTCGAGCCCAAGTATTTGAAACTGAACATGGGGTATGTCAGCTATGTAATGTGAATGCACAAGAACTCTTTTTATGTGTGAGAGATGCCCCTAAAAGTCAGAGGAAGAATCTTCTAGATGCTACTTGGACTTCAAAGCTCCCATTGGAACAGGTAAATTATATCTCATGACAGAAAGAAGGCAACATTGTGATGAGTGATGAATATTGACTCCCTAATATTATGTTAACTTTATTTTGCTTGGCTTTGTTGCTCATAGCTGGAGCTCTATCACTTGAACCATGCTACCACTTCTGGCTTTTTGCTATTTAGTTGTTGGTTTAGGCTTGCTCCAAACCTCAGTCTTCAGATCTCATTCTACTGTGTTGCTAGGGTTATAGACAAGAGCAAAAAAGAAAGCAAGTGCCTTTTTTAAGCTTTTTAGTATGGGAATTTTCAAGTATATATACAAATTAGGAATAATCATCATCCAGCTTCAATAGTAAACCCCAATTTGCCATTTGATTCTATCTTACCATTGTCTCACTTTTGTTTCCCTCTTGGACTATTTTAAAGTAAATTCTAAACAATAGGTCATTATTTTTATTAGGTATTCCCAAGGTAGACTGACCTCCTTTCTTCCTTCCTCCTTTCTTTTCTCCCTCCCTCAATCTCTTCCTTTGCCCTTCTCTCCTTTCTTTGAAATACATCACAATTCAAATGATAGTTTCTTAAATATAATAAATTCATACGTAGTTTCCAAGATTGTCTCAGAAATGTTTTTCAGAAGTTAACTTTGTCCCAAGACTGGTACAAAAAAAAGTTAATTTTGTTTGATTTAGAATTAGAATATGATATCAATATTATTTGGTTATTATGCCTTTTAAGTTTTATTTAACCGCTAATATTATCCAATCCCTTTTTTTAAACATTTTTTAAACGTTAATTGTTAATAAAAATGGATTCTTTGCCTACAGGATATCCCACAGTCTAAATTTATCTCCATGTGTCTTTATGGTACTTTTTTTGGCATGTTCTTCTATCTCCTCTAATTTCCTAAATATTGAAAATAAGATGTAGAAGCTTAATTCGATTTTGATTCCATTATTTTGGGAAAAGATTTTTTTTTTTTCAGGAAGGAAAAGAAGTTTATTTATTTACGGAACTGCTGCCCCGGCCATGCATCGTGAAGAAGCTTGGCTGAAAAGAGAAGGGGGGGACACCCACCTCTGGGCCAGGACTTATCTAGGCCAGGGACAGGAAGAGGTGTGGCAGGTGGGGGAAAGGTGTGGCCACCCTGGATCTGGATGTGACCTCAGGGTCTGGGACCCTCCTAAGGTCAGATAGGAGGCATGTGACCAGAGGTGGCCCAGGATGTGACCTAGCAGGAGGGGAAGGTGACTACTTCCAGGTCTGCCAGTTACCTAGGTAACAGATACTGGGTGGAAACTTAGCCAAGAAGGAGGGAGGTGTCTCTGTTCAGACCTCACATTCCATCCTTTTGATAATTATGAAAAAGGGTGAAGATTCTCTCTGGCTACTTCCACATCAATTGTAGGGGTAAAAGGCTGAGATGTGGTCCCCTCTGGGAGAAGGCAGCAGGCCGCAGTAGTCATTTGGTAGACATGAATCCTTAGATGAAGTGTGGAGGAGGCAAGTCTCTTGGATGAAGTCTGGAGAAGTCTCATCATGCATTGAGGGACATGGTGGAGATAGTCAGGATGGTCTAGGTGGGAATGAGGCCTGTCTTCCAGGTTAGAAGAGATGGACTGGATCTGGACTGCATGTAGACTGGCTGGCACTGAACAGAGTAGGGAAGTGGTGTGGACGTGGATGGGAAGGCCAGCAATGGTATTGGTGAAAAGTCTCGCGTGGTGTCTCAAGGCAGTTTGGTTCGCAGAAAAGGGGTGGTTAGGAAATTCTAACTTTTCCAACTCAAAAACCCCATCCAAGTCACAGCAACATATGTAAGGTATATTAAATAGGTAGGTTTCATTAGGTAGCCAATGAAGAGAACACCACGTGCAATTCAGGCAGGAAAAGAAGTTTATTTATTTACCAAACTGCTGCCCCCGCCAGGCATAGTGGAGAAGCATGACTGAAAAGGAAAGGGGTGTTGGGGGCAGGGAAGGGGGGGGGCTTGGGAAGAGATCTTAACAAGTGATGCTTTGCATCTACAGACACAAAGTCTGGTGGTTCCATTTTTCATGATGTTAATATTGAATGGCAAGAGCCAATAAATAATCTGAAAAATGTAGTTCATTTGAGATACCTGTGTGTGGGGATGTATGTGTGTGTGCACACATGCAGATGTAGGCTGAAGTGTATGTGAATTCATTCCATTGTAAAATATAGTTGTTATTTTTATTTTTTTTTGTCGGCCGTGGGGCTTGAACTCTGGGCCTGGGCGCTGTCCCTCAGCTCTTCAGCTCAAGGCAAGCGCTCTACCACTTGAGCTACAG